AATCACATGTGTTTGCCATAAATGTTATGTGAGTTGATACAGCATCACCTGGAGATACTTTTTTAACACTTTCTACAACTTTCTCTTTTTTTGTGAAATTCAGTAAACTTCCAGATTTTGATCATTACATTGTCAGTGGCTGGAGCGCTCCTCATCATTAGTGTTTTGCTGTGCATTTTCTGCTGCTGCAAGTGTGAGAACATTGGGTAAGTCTGAACATATGAGATGTGTTCGACCTATTGCATGTTACATCAACTTTTATTATATGGTTGACAAATAAGTCGCACCCTCCATTTAGCTTTCTTAAATTCTACAGAGAGTTGGTGTCACCTCCCTCAGGCTGTAATTACTTTTACTTGCATAAATGTAGATAAAGTCAAAATAATCAGACTTAGACTGTTTTTTTTTTACTTTTACTTTCTTTACTTATTGGTCAAACTTTCTGCATCGCTGTAAAATGGCAGAGAACCAAGAGACCTCTAGATCATTAAAGAAAGGCCTTGACGACTCAACTTTCTCAATTTAACAAATGTTGTCTTTCAGATCTGCTCGATCTGAAAACAGGATGAACCGACAATCAGACAAGAGAAAAACAAAACAAGAGCAGAGGTAAAAGTGATTAACATTTGAATATTCAAAATGGAGATGACAAGAGTTATAATATGTAAAACCAGTTAAAAGGGGAATAATGGACGTTTTCATTAAGTACTTTGTATTGAACATCTGCTTTTATCCATACATATATATGTACATGCAGATGCATCTTGGGTAGTGTATCAACATGTGAATTTTCAAAGCAGACAAAACATATTATGTTATGAGGAACTAAGATGTGACAGATGATGTTCTATGAGAAACCTGTTCTACAGCTGTAATGAGTACAGATCGTCAACATACCTTTGGGGTGTGAGTGTGATTTCACAAGGAATTTATGTTTCACAGAAAAGCTGAGTTGAAGATTAGACATGATGAGATCCGACAAAAATATGGTAAGTCAACAATTCCCTCATCTCAGAAACTGCATAAATAAGTGAATTTGAACTGGTTGTGACACTGGCTGTGCAGGAAAAAAAATCATGCTGTCAATCAATATAAAGATAAGGAGCATATGACAGTGTTTTAAAAATAGGTCCAGCCTAATGTTTTGGAATGTTTTCAAAAAATGCTGCATGTTTTTAAAACGTTATGACTAGTCAAATTCTTTATGAAGTTGTGCTCCCTCTAGTGGTAATTATTCAATTTGGCCTCTTTTCTGTTTCTTTAGTAAAAACTCCTGGACATGAATCATGATAAATGTGTACATTCAGATTTGTGTGTTCATAAAATTAAACATTACTGAGCAAGGTCTTCGAGATTTTGTTCAATGGCCTTTTTTTTTAGAAAAGAAAAATATGTTTGTTTCTATATATTTGTTGGAAATGTATATTTGATTAATTAATATAATGTTATCTTTTGTGTTTTTTCCCCGTCTCTCTCTATCAGGTCTCAGCAGGGCAAGTCCTTATGCCAGATTTGACAATCCCAGCTAAAATGATGGGTGCACTGTTTTAAAGATGAAGACTTTAACCATCTGCTGCCTATTTGAAAATGATTAAAATCGATTAAATAAAAAGATTCATACTGTGCTCAAAATGATGATTTTTCGGGTTAAGTAAAATTCAATTAATTGTCATTTCTGTTAATTAATTTTATTAAATATAATTTTCCACAAAGGCTACCCCACCATCATAATATGAAAGTAACTTTTTTATTATTTTAATCAAAAATAGGTTTCACTGAAACAAAAATAATAAAATATAATAATAAAAAATAACATATTTAATGCTCTCATCAGAAGCCAAGCATCTGCTAGGTTTGGAACAGATTGAAGGATTACTTATTAGTCCATGACTGTTTTTCATGGCCTAATAGACCTTTTTAAGATACAGTATTTGGATATTTGGTAAATACCTGCTGATGTAATATACTCATTTATTGAATAAAAAAAAATAATAATTAAAAATTTCTTGTCCGTTTTGACTTGAATGTAATTTTACAGTTTTGTTTTTTCAAAACATTGTCAGCGTGGAGGTGTTTAAATGTTAAAATATTGATTGACCTTGGGATATGAGCTGTTTATTTCATTTTTTTATAAGGTCTGCAATATATATATATATATATATAATTAGAGTTATTTTATCATATATATGGTGTATATAGTTTTTTAATCAACTATCACTTTGAAATCTATACAATATGACAATGTTCATAAAAATGTCAACATAAAAACTACAGCACCAGAATGGGAAACAGGGCTGCAAATGTGTCTCAATAGGGGTGGCAAGTTAGAAGTCATTGATAAACTTAGTTATATGTGGGTTACAGAGCCGAAGGTTGAGGTTGATGAATGCAATCACCATCACAATTTGTGTAAAAATTGTTCAAATCAAATCAGATTATTGGGTTGGATACAGCTAAATATCATGGTTTTGACTTTTCTCTGACTGCATGCTAATAAAACACATACATTCAAATACATACAAAGGCCAAGGGAAACTAGGCCAAACCAGCATTTGACAGTGACACATGGCCTGAGCATTCCTGTGTAACATAAAAAGGCATTTCCTTTCAGTCTCTCTTTTTACCTTCTCAATACTTGCATTAGGACTCTTTTAACAGTTGATGTAAAAAACCTGACAACTTGCTATTCAACACATAACAGAACTGGGCCAGAAAACAAAGAGCACCATTATATACAAAAGTGACCCTGGACTACAAAACCAGTCATAAGTAGCACGGGTATATTTGCAGCAACACTGCAAAAACAGATGTGTCAAAAACAACACACATGGTTGTGTTGACAGCATTCTGACACATGTTGTGTAGGATTTTAACACACAATATGTAATAAAAAAAAATAAAAATCTTTGGACAGATTGACACAATAAATGTGTTTCTCCTGGGCCGGCAGTTTGTGTTTATGGAAATAAATGCAATACATATATGTCATATGGTAGCACATAAAAAGCTCTAAAAATGACTAAAAATCATTAATAAAATAAATATACCATATATACATCTCAATTTATTAAACTTAAAATGTTAACGGCTATTTTTTGTCAGCCAATCACGTCGTGCCTCTTGTCTTTTTAAACTGCGGCGGATCCCGCTCTTTTCACTCTGGCTGGTCTGGTTTGAGGGGGATCAGTATGCTGTCGGACTCACATCTATCCGTAAGTTACAGCAGATACTCTTAAAAATGCATAGTGCTGCAAAAATCGACCATGAAAATAGTTAGCTACCAAATACATTGCTAATTAGTTGGAAAGTGGCGACGTGCACTGAGCAGTATGCCGTTAGTGAAAAGTGTTAGCGAGGCAGAGCGCATAACTGGAAAAAAGAAGAGACGCTGAAACAGGAAAACATGACCAAACAAGTTGTCTAGCATACCAGATCATTTTATAAACACCTAAAAGAGGATTATAAGTGAACAATTTAAGGTGGAGCGTTTGCTTCGCTGCATCAGGTGCGTTCGCAGTGCTTGTGCTGTTTGATTCGGGTGACACGGCGTGAATGTTGTTTCTTCTTTTCGCATTACTCTACGGTATGAGTAACACTGAGCCTTATCTTCACGAATTTGCGGATGTTGACAGAAGTGAAGCATTTTGACCGATTTCAAGTCTTCACCTCAAGCACAGGAGCCCTACACCAAACGAATGCTGGAGAGGTTATCCAGGTATTTTGTTTTTGTTCTCATCCCTCTGCTATATGTGATTATTATGTGCATAATAGCGTTTAAAAGGTAAAACTCACGGCCATCATGTCATGTAATGTAGCATGTTCCAGTGCCAAATGAACAGGGAGGCCTGCACTCTCTACTTCAAAGCAAAGCAGCAGTGTTAAGTTACCTGAGGAACACAGGATCATTTCAAGTCCAGGAGACTGCTTGTCAAAGTTTGTGTCAGTCACTTGGTGGAGAAGGGTGAATTGTAAGTATATAAATTCAAAAACATA